CGTCCACTTAAATCAATTTCAATTTTTTTTTTCTTTATTACTATACGTAATAATTACAAGTACCACACTTTTCATTAATCAAAAATTTTCTCCCTTACGAGGTCGCAAATCCTTACTGTAATGCAGTTGGAACAAATTTATGGCGTCTAATAAGCACTCAGTTGGTTATTTATTACAAGTCTGGTACAATTTCTCCTTTCGTTTCGCTTCGATGCAACACACTTGCCGTTGAAATTGAATTTGCATTTGTAATGTTCAATACCTACGTGAACCGCGACACTCGACTTTAGAATACTAATGTTTTCTTGTGATTAGATTTGCGCATTTAATAGCTTTTTAACATCTATTCCTTATCCATATTTTAAAAGTCAAATGTGATACTATAACATCTTAGTTTAAGTTTTTTGAGGCTAAATTCGCGTTTTGGGGAACAATGGCTCTTTAACCTTTAACCAGTCCTATTTTTATTTTTCACTCTAGGGGAAAATTATAGAATGCAACAGACCTTTAAAAATAGAACAAGAAACGGCTTGTTCCCTACCTCTGGCGCAGTACGTGTTGACTGTCTTCACAAATATCTTCGCAGATACGTGTAGATCGCATCATGTTATTTTCCAACATGGCAGAACTAAAATGGAATAAGAGAATGGCAATGTTATTAATATTACAGACACCTACACCTTACTGTTTATATTTTTGAGGAAGATATTTAATACTAAATTTAAATAATACAAAATTGAAAAAGATATTTTATTATGTGCGATGAAATCTTTTCCCGAAAACATTGCAACCGCATTTTTCTCTGCACGGCTTACATGAAATTAGCATTTACAGTGGAAACCGTATTCAAATGCAAAGTTCGGCGCAGATTCAAAACAGAAATTGAATCGTATTAAAGTAGTAAGGTTTTCGAATACCACGAACTTTAACCTATGGACTTTTCGAATAACCATTTGACATTTATTACTTGAATTTAAAAAAAAAAACTTTATAGCTACACGTAAATAATATTACAAAAATAAAAATTAAGTATTTTGGTAACATCTACTATAATGCTATGGAAAATTGTAACACTGGTCGGCACAACATGTTTTGTCGTTTTAATCCATCACTAACTACGTCTTCCTACATAATCACTTCAAGCGTCACTTAACCCATCCATCTCATCTTAGGTCTTCCCGTATCGAGATACATTTCTCCAGGTTCTATATAACATATTATTTCTTTATTATTACAATATGTTTATATTATTTAAGTAAATCTTATTATTATTCATTTTCATCTTTTAAATATTTTATAGTTTGTCTTTTTGGTAATTTAAAATAGTCATATGGAAGTGGACTTGTTCCCATTAAAAACATATCGTGTTCTTGTTTGCGGAAGTAAAATAAACCACAGCTCTATCGTGGACGAGGAACTAATTCCCGTTGCCAGAAAATAAACGTTATTCCAGTTTTCAGTCTGTATGCAATTTGAAATCGGTTTAAGGGGAACTAGCAGCCAGAATTTTTTTTTTAAAGATGTTTTGCAAAAGTACATAACAGCCGGTATTTTTAACTTTGATTCGCGCTTGCTGATGTTTTCAATATTGAGTCAAACATAATAATTATGTAGTTTTACTTTTATTTTATGATATTGGCATTTTATTTTAAAGTGTCTGATAACTGTTACAGTTTCGCTAAATTGTTACTAAAAGAAAAGATCTTACTAATATTATAAATGCGAATGTCTAGATGGCTTAAGAACGGCTACATGGATGTAGAACATAGTCTGAAAGTATACATCGGCTACTTATTAAATTTTTTATTCCGTGGGGAAGGCTCGTATTTTGTAAACAGTAAATTTTTCTTAAATTAAATATAAAGCTTTTAATTAGAGATATCTTGCGTCAAGTCAGTCCTCAATTCTTGGCAAAACTCGACGCTTATTGAATCTCGGTTAAAATGTCGACAGAAGCTTTCAACGAAACGTGCTGAACTCCTTATCTTCGACGATTTAACCGTTACATTCAGCAAGTCTCTTCGTTATTAAGTTATTATCTGCAGTGAATTCCTATCTTGTTAGTTTGCTGAATGTTTCCTTTGCAATCTTTTACTATTTCTGAATACATTAACAACATGAATTCTATAATACATAAATGTAAATTTTACAAGACTTTTGATCACAAACTATTGAATGTAATTCAACCTTTTTGAAATACCTCTTGGCATAGTTTTATTCATTGCAAAATCACATCTCAAAGTTATACAGGGTTAGCACCCTATTTTTACTATTGAGTCTTTGTATATGGTATAAACAATAGATACCTATTAGGTTTATAATTGCATATTGATTTTCTATAACTGTTTATTCTCAACATATAAATAATTGTATCAATAAGGTTTGACAACAAATTTTAATCTGTTCTGCTATCTCTAGAGACCCATGTGAGTCTTGGCTTGGTCCAGCAATTTTTTCCATTTTTGGCAAACTCGAGACTGTCTTTTAATTTTCTATTACAACATCCTCTGGATATTGATTTACTTCTAATAAATGGAGCTTTGGTTTCCCTCGACGTCCAATAACGACGACGACCTTGGAATTACTTGCTCCAAGCATTTTGTAAACTGTATTTTATGTTAAACAATTGCATATAATAAAACAACATAAACTTCTGTTTTACCACTTACAGAAGCTATGTAGACACTAGTATTCTCATTTGAATACATAACCTTAAAATAAGATTACTTCAATGAACTGAGTTTGCATGTAAACAGCACACAGAATCTTATTCACTTTCACTGCCAATAAATGCAAACGGTGTAATAGAGAAAGCAAAGCTTAGCAGAGAGCGAATTGCAAATCTCTAAACTAATTTAAAAAATAACTCGTTTGAATGATTAAAAACATGAGTTAATGTAACTAAACCCTTTTCCAGAAAGATCTATCCAATCTTTGTGTGGATAATGATAGCTTATTTTGATAAACCAATTTTAGTAATTATCGCGGAAAGAGATATTTTAACAGTGGTAGAGCCAGCAACAACATGCACAAATGGGCCGACTCGTTAATGTTTTATTTTTCATTTTAAATGTGAATTAGTTCAGATCAAAACATCGATGGACCAAGTCTTTCCCTCTAGTCTAGGTATGTATTTTTCTTGATTTACTTTTTCATAAAAGAAAAGTAATAAAAGTTTGAGCACATTTCTTAAGCTCGTTACATCCCTAACGTGACAAGTGGTAAACCTACTGCGCCTTATTTCTTAAGCAACCTTAATTTAATAAAACATCGAAGCGTTTGTAACTTACTTAATTGTCTAAGTCAATGAACAAAGTTTCGCAGGAACCTTTATATTATTTGAGTTTTTCTGAATGGAAGCGTCTTTATTAAATCGTAAACTATCAACCAATTTTTTGCTTCAATTTTTCGCCAATTATACACTAATTTAATAGATAAATAATAATCCAAATGTGGTTTGTTGGCAAGTTATCTCTTGAAAGTCTACAGTTTGAGATGACAGTTTGAAGTCTTTAAATTCCAAGAGGAATATCGCACGACAATGCTTCAAAGAGTGGACAAATAGAGATCCATTTATTTCAAAATGTAGCCGATTTGTATTGTAAACGTGAGAGAAGTGAATTTGCTATATCAATTGTGGGCACAAATTGCCAAGTAAAAAGTCGACTCAAAGCTTCGCCGGACGTTCGTAAAGAAAGGTGAAAATACCGGGATTTTACTCTTAAGAACGATTCACTCCGCCACCTAAATCTTTTTTGTGTCGAGAAAACTAATGCTTTTTTCTTTTATTTTTCTTAACATTCTTTTTGTTAGTTTCTGAAAATAAAATCCTTGTATAAAACATATCGACATCTCACTCATTGTCTTTGATAAAATGGAGATAACAATATGTTTTATACACGGATTTTGTCTCGGATACCAACGATTAGTGGTCGCTTTCCTTTTTCACTTATTCCAGTCTTTTTAGATATTTGGACTCCGTTTCCTACTCATACGTAATTTGTACAAATAACCGCTTTCTTCCTTATGCCTTATTTTTTAAATTGTGTCATTATTGCACTTTGTTTGGAAGTGTACTTTTTTTTAATTTCACGCCGAAAATAAATATTCCAAAAATAATAGCCGCCTTTTTCTTCATCAAAAGTTCATGTAAACCCGAATGACCTTTCCTCTTTGTCCTTCTTTCATTTAAAATTTGACAGATTCCGTCATTTTGAATAAGACTTTTATTCAAATCACTTAGCAACTGAAAGCTTTTGCACAGATTGCATCATTTATTTTCATCGAAAAGTTCAAAGATCATGAATTTTTTAATCTCGCAAAAAGAATTCTCTGAGATAATCTTAGGAGATTTATAGGCCACGGCATAATCTGTCGCAAGAATATTTCTTTCTTACTGTAGGTAAAGTTTATATTCATCATCAGCTTACTCTACGTACCCACCGAGGGGTTCGGAGCCCACCCTAAGTTAAGGCTGATTAGGCCATAGTCAACCACGCTGGCCAAGTGCGGGTTGGTTGACTTCACACGTATCTTTGAATTTCTTCTCAGATATGTGCAGGTTTCATCACGATGTTTCCTTCACCGTAAGAACGTCGGATAAATGTATGTACATATGTAAATCGGAAATTTAAAAACAAAAGTTTTTATATAAAAGCATATTTATTTGATCCTCCATTATGTCTTCATGTAGTCTAACGGCTGGAGCAATTATAAGGAGTAAGGTGTGAAGATCTTTACGCACTTCACTTATTCCTCAGCACCTCGCACCGCGGCGTGTAAGCACGTAAGACCTTGATGACCTTTGTTTCTTATAGCTGTAGCACGCGACTCCGTCCGCGCGGTATTAAATTAAACATAATTGGTAGCCTATGTGTTCCATTCATCCGAATATTCGCATTTATAATATTAGTATGATACATACTTCTTCACTTAGTTGAAAAGATATAATCAATCGGCCGACTTCCAACACATTTATTCTATGGCAAACATCGCTTAAAGAGACCTTGTCAAAAGTCTAAATGCTGACAGATGGATTAAATGATCGAAAATCTGTATTAATCAATCCCTTATCATCCCTAGTTAGTAATAAACATAGGGTATGGGACTTAACACCAAAATAGCCAATTCTTTATTCGGAGGGCCTTGCAATGGCATCGAAAATTTCATCATTTAATTGCCGAAGGACGTGTCAATGTCTTTTAAGCCCCAGCAAACCAGCAAGCCCCAGCTTTTGTGGGTAAGTCAAGATATTGGCATAAAGTTTTCAATTCGCCTACTATTTAAATATTGCATATGTTTGGATTCATTCATAAAGACGATGTTTGTAAAGGGTCCTTAATTTTAAATATACTTTCACTTAGAGAAACGTCAGTCGTATACTTCGTCTACGGGTGATGTTTCGTTTCGTTCGACGGAAGCTAGGTTTAGATGTATACTTAATTTTAATAATAAAAAAGACAGCACAGTCTAAAAAACTCAATAGATATTTATCAAGTTCACTTTAATATTTGTTTAAATAAGACATTCTGATGTTAAACTTATATAAAAACGGCTAAACACTCACGTATATTTATCCGCTGGCGGCACCGACTAGTTTTGAGCAAATCGGGGGCCCTTCATCAGGGTGAGGTGAACTGGTATTATTTCGCGGACGAGGCCCGTCGCCCGGACGAACATACATGAGTGTTTTAGCCGTTTTTATATAAGTTTATTATAATGTCTCACGAAAGTTTCAATAATTTGTGATGTTACTGAATATTTCAAGGTACGCCATCTCGTCTTTCCTACTTTATAATTCAACTTTCGACTTTGAATACGAAACTATAACTATAGTTATCTCTTCATTACACAACTTAAAACTACATTCTAAAAGTCATGCTCAACAGACAAAACTTTATAAACCTCAAAATGGTCATATTTAAATATAGCCTTAGAGTTTCAAGTCACAGTAATGTTTGAGATTATGTCCCACTCTATTATACACTAGCCAACTTAATTACCGTAGTTACCGGTTACTGCGGGAAACGACAATTACACATTCATAATAATTGGACTAAAACTTTACAATACTTCTGTGGAGACAATTTTTAGTGGAACTTAATGCTCTACTTCATTTTAATTTTATTATCATACCTCATTTTCGCACTCGTTTTACTATAAAACTTTTTATTGTAATGATTATCTTTTATAACTCTTTTATAAAACTAAACATAAATACAATGATAGGGTTTTGTGTTCTTAAAACATACAACATAATTGGTTAACCCGTTTTTTGTACAAATATTTCGGCAGTGAACTAAAAACTCTAGGTGGAACGTCAATCAAACATCAGTAGAAAAAGCAATAGCTTTTGTACTATTAACTTGAACAGACAATATTCAACATTCACATTTGTATTCCTATGTGCTATGTAGTGATATTTTATACTTTAAAATAATAATTTGACTGTTCAACCTTTTTATACAGTTTGCTGAATGACTGTACTTGCCCAATCTACAGGATGCTTAAAAAAATAACAATTTCGCAAGTTACGTTGACATATGTCAATACAACAATGGCGTCCAAAAATGTAAATTAAAACATCAAAGTGTTGTCACAAATTTGCTGTAGTTTTGAGAGATTATTACAAGTTCAACCGAAAAGATTCATAAAAAATGTAACTCAAAAAATATTTTGTAGAAGCGGTACAAGATCTTCGTCGCCGACGCCCGAAAGGGCAGTCTCCCTTCCCAACCTAGACAAATCTATACCAATATTAAAGTAAGTTTTTAATTTATATATATTTCTGTTTATTCCTTAAAGTTATAGTTAATACTTACGTCACGTGAATACACAATTTACCAAATTCTTTTCGCTAATTGTTCTTGTGTCAAAATCTTTTTTTTTTGTCTTTCAGACCTGAAATAGTAATAGAGGAACGAAGATGGTGCCCATACCCTATGATCATTCGACATTACATAGAAAAACCAAAGTCATCGGAAAAGTTTACAGCATTAAAAAAATGGTATAAATGTAATCAGGAAAAAAGGAAAAAAAAAGCTGAACAGAAAAGGGACATGCAAAGAGTACTCGCCGAAAAAGAGCGAATAGAAAGAGAACGTTGCTTAAAAGAATTACGAAGATTACATTCCCATCATCAATCTCTCTGCTGCAGATCACAATCGTTGCCAACTTTCAGCAAATCTTCCAAACCCGCTAAATCTTGCAAAATAAGCTATAAAACTCGCGCAACCACAGCAAAAGATAAGTAAGTCATTTAAAATGTATTTTTTTTATATTATTTTTCTAAACATCCATTCGTCAATTTAAGCTAAATTAAGTATCGAAATAGTTGTATAATCTGATAAAACTATCCATTTCGCTGAAAGCCGCAAAAACCCCTGTGTAGCTTTGACCTTGAATTAATTTTTCCAAATGCGGGATCGATGGCAACTTTCAAAGGTTCACATATAACGGGCGACAAAAAAATGTCTACCAATTTTCGGCTCAATGCAAATGATTAGGTGTGTAACAACTATCTCATACCCAAACAACGAAAGTACGAGACAAATACTTTTTCCTTAGTCATGCATACTTTATTTACAAAGATAAAAATCAATTGTCAATTACATTGACTATAGGAATAATTTATTTTAGCAGGTGCAAATTAAAAAAGCTGAAGAAAAAACCGAAAAAAGAAAAGTGTAGACAAAAGTCGTCGCCATTCGGCTGCATCAAGTTCTGTTGCAATGTTATCTGTTGCTGCACTATACTGACCATAGTAGCTTTGGCCATTATCGTATTTGTACTTTAACACGTTCAATGCCAACGACTCTACGAGTACACTCTGATATAAAAATCTTAGTGGCATTAAACGTGTTAAAAATATAGAAGTTAAATTCTATAGTCGGATTTTAAGTTTAATAACAAGGTAAAGGTAATTTATTTATGAATTAACCAATCCAAATCTACCTCTGTAAGTTAAGGTTTGATATTTATAATTAAATAAATAATTAACTCAGTTTTTTTTTATTTATTTTTGGAACGTATGCGACAAATGCCATCATTCCTCACAACAAATAACTTAAGTCGTCGATATTCGTGAGCCGTATTCCATAGAAGTTGGGAAAAATAACAGTAGCCTAACGTTAGATCGCCACTGTTCTTGAATATTTACAATATAAATTGTAATTAGGCTGTAATCACCATCAACCTGAAGATGAGTAATAGTTTGAATTGTTCTTTACTATTTAAAAATTAAGATCCTGCTCGAAGGACCATAAAATGTAGTTGTACTCATGGAATGTAGATATTTTCAATGCAAATTGACGTTCGTTTTCCTTATTTGTGTGGGAGAGGATATAATAAAACTAAATATACAATAATCGAATAATTTTGTTTTTAAAATAACTAAATACGTACATATACCAATTGTAACACTTGAATGTTACATGTTAGTATAAGGCACAAGCATATTAAGTTGGAGAACAAATAGCATATAAAAATATTGAAATATTTATTAACAATTGGTACTTATATACAATTCTATTATTCACAATCGAGTTACAAGTTCAAAGACCTGGTATTATATAAACTGTCTATATAATACTTGAAAGAGTAGCACAGGTTACCAGGTTAATGCAAAAAAAAAATAGTAACACTTCTCAAAGCTTGGAGATCTTTTACTTGGTCAGTACTATAGTATCATAGACATTTACTACATTCAAAATTTGGATGTAATATTAAAGCGCGCTTCCTTAAATACTTGGTCCTTTTTTGGCGAATTGTAACATATTCGGTTTGTATTAGATTAAAATTATTGAATTCGTAATGTCTTACATTTTGTACTGACTAACTACAATAAATCAGACAAATAATTTAGTATAATTTTTATTATGCTAGTCCTAAATATATAATATTAAAATTACAAAAACTAACGTAAACATAACAAATCAGAAAAAAAACCTATTCAGTACAAAATAAGGCAACACTGAAATGTTTAATACACAAGTATTTCTGGTAACACTAAAGATCAGTTTCACGCAACTCGAACGGTTGATCGGGATGATTTGGTTTCTCGACTATAACTTTTTTAATTCCTTTGACTGTTTCCTCATCTGCACATCTCTTTCTATTTGGACTATTCATATTATTTAATTCCTTTAATGGCGAACGTCGATTATTCGATTCCAGCACCAAACTACTAATCGATGCTGTCAAATCGCTCGGCATGTTCCCATCGAGGCAGTACATTAACGATTCGCTAATCGAATCATTCGATTCAGATTTTAATATCGATAGATCGATCGGTGTTGCTGTAAGAACTGATCTGCTCAGTAAATATTCTCTGAATGGTTCCGTTAACGATTTCGATTTCTCGATATATCCCATTTCGTGGCTTTTTATATTTGGTAGTAATAAATCTTCACATAAAGTCGTGTTTAAATCTGTTATATTTTTTCGTTCATGACTGACGACAAATCTGGTGTTCTGAGAGCGAAGTGGACTGACTTCGCAAATTGAACCGGATCTACCATCGAATGGTATATTTCTCGATAATGACACGCTATTGGAATGACCAGACCTAAAATCAATAACAGATTTTAATTACTTACAAGCACTTACCGCGATTATCAGCTCCTTCTATGAATTACCACGACTTTACAGAAAGGGTGTCTCCCCTTTGTGAATTTGTTCCCCCATTGATTCTACAGAAAGGAGTGACAGAGGATTAACTTTAGTCACCTTCCTTTTCTTCATTTTTCTTTGTCACTTCGCCTTTTCCAGTTTACTTAAAAGGAATATAAAAAAGAGAAAAGATGGGACTAGGATTTTTTTATTGTCTCCTCAGTCTAAATAGGTAAAATTAATTGTTGACCAATATAACAAGAGTTCTGTTCACATACCTGTCACAAGAAATAGAAGATCTAGACATGATATCGTCATCTGAAGACACGAAGTCACTATCGTTCTTTGGTGAGACGGATTGGTACACTTCTAACTTCTCATCCTTGTCCGGGAGTGAATCTCGTTGCTCACAAGTTATTATAAGCGGCTTCCTCGAACGAGGCGTCATTATCGATTCCTGTTTTAAGTTATGATTAAAATGTATGGATAAATAACTGTATTACTCCAAAGTGAAGGGAGACAAGAAGAAATGGGTATATTGGGGGTAAAAAATATTGGAACAAGTTGGATGCATTTGGCAAACAGAGAATGATGGAAAAGGATGGAGGAGGTTTTTACCCAGGAACATATAACAAAGAAAAAGACTAAATACATAGTTTTTAGGCGTTACTTGATATTATAAAAGCTAATATCTCTGTCTGTCTGTATCTATCCGCTATCAAGCCAAAACTACTGAACTAATTTAAATGAAATTTGGTAGTCTAGAACCTAAGAAAGGACATAGGCTACTAGTTATCTTACTAGTATTATAAATGCGAATGCTTGGATGTATGGATGGTTGTTTGTTTGAAATTATCTACAGAAATATTGATGGATTTCGATGAAATTTGGCAAAGATGTAGAACATAGTCTGAACACAATGGCTATTAATTTATTTATCTATCCCGTGGTGACGGAATCACAAATAACAGTTAGTTTTGATTATAAAACTTGTATTAGTGTGAAACATGCTATGTAGAATAAATATTTGAACAAAGTAATGAAGACATATCAAGGAAAAGACATATAAAACCACATACGACATGCTTAAAACAAACCTGCATTGCTTTTGATAGTTTCTGTGTTGATTTTGTTATTGGAGACATCGAGGCTCTTCTAAAGTTCACCGCATAAGGAGTACTGCATTCTTCAAACACTTCCTCATTCACACCCGGAGTACTTGTCAAATAATGCATTTTGAACTCTATCTCATTATCAGAAAGCTTAGATTTCTTTGGGGTCTCTATATCTATGGCGTTCTCCATACATTCATTCTCCGAAGCGGTATCTTGATCGTCCAAACAGGACACACAGGAAGTCGGCGTACCACGAATTGTACCGCGTTTTTGGTATTTCTTATTCAAATTTTGCGACGCTGATATAACTTTTGATCGAAACAATCGCGTACCACGTTTTTTGGTATTCTTCGGTGTATCGTTCGGATCGATTATACTCAAATTGGGTTCGGAAACGAATTTAGGACTCAATTTTTTCGATTGATTCAAAGCGCCTTCTGACAATGTACTTTCGTTACTCTGATCTGAATCGTAATCGTTGTCTTCTAATGATTCAGTACTGGCTATTTTATTTGCTAAATTCTTTAGAACGATATTCTTATGAGTTACATCGACTTTACTGTCGTCAGAGAATTTTAACTTTCCCTTACATGACTTCTGTAAATAACGCATGCGATTAGCACATCACAAGAAAGTTAATATTAAACAAGGAAAGATTAAGATGTTATATTACAATGCTGTTTTTCATCATAATTCTAATACAACTCACGCCTATAACCCAGAGGGGTAGGCAGAGACCGCAATAAAACGCGGTTAATCAAACCTATGCAATCCATTTTTCCAATTCCTTTTCGGGAACTTAACGAATAGCGAACCGATTGTAGTTGTAATTAATTTTTGGAACTATTCTGATAAATGTCGAAATAAAAGCACTTTCGTAAATCAAACGTAACACTTTTTAAACTTTAAGATAATAGCTTTGTAATATAACATTTTTATAGACATGAATGAACAATGCGATGTTAGTTGAAAACAAGCACACAATAAGGTTGAGATTTGCATGAATTTATAATGATTTTGTATAGAAATGAAGTTACCTCTTCGACCGTAATGACGGAACTGGAGCCTTTCTTTGGAGTTTTATTCAGCAAGCCTTTGTTAAAGATATGTCGTTTGATTGAATCACCGAAACTTCTTGAACCTGCCACTTTGCCTGTCCTTTGTATTTGTATTGGTGTTCCTAAATAAATCAGTTTGGTTTTCTTACCGTTGGCTTCTGAGACCAAAATGTATGTACACACACAGATATAACAATATGTTTTAAATGGGATTTTAGTCTCAGAAACCTATTCTTAATTATATATTTTAACTTTAAACTATTAGATAATTAGAAAATGTACTCGACAAATAATCTATTTTGTCAAAATTTACATATTTATCAAATTATTTATTTAGTAAGCGACTTTGCGTTTCTACAGCACTAGAAAGATTTTTATAGTCTTATCATTGGTTTCTGAGACCTGTGATTTGACAAAGAAGCGAGAACAATATGCTTTAAACGGGCATTTTAGCCTCAGAAACCCACGGTTAGAACACTTGAAAAGATATGTATACTAAAAAATAAAATAACAATATTAGATTTAATTAAATTATTTGCTTTTTGCATTGTTTTTGTTGTCATGGTAACATATCCCTGTATGAAATGAATGAATCCATACCGTATCCATTCTGCCTATTGAAGTGTTTGACGAGACGTCTCTTGTGCGCGGAGTCAGGCAATGCCTGTATATGCGCGTAGAGTTGCGCGAGCGCCGTGTCTGTGGGATTGCGCGCGTTCTCTGCGCACGTACGGTGCCGGTCTACGAACGTGTATACCGTATTTGCTGCCGTCCTGAAAAACAAGGCACAATTTATTACTAAAAACAAACAATTAGGTTAAGATCTACAAATCTACTAAAATTTATAAAAAAATACCTTTTAATATATAAATAATTAGTAATTTCCCGCGACTTCGTCCGCGAATTGTGAAAAATCAAGTAATAAATATAGCCTATGAGAGCCAGGAATAATGTAGTGTGTCTTTCTTCTTACTAATATTAAGCTAATGTTTGGATATATGGATGTTTGTTAGAAGATATCTCCGGAACGACTGAACTAATCCTGCTGAAATTTGACATGGATGTAGAACATAGATATATTTTTTTACCCGTTCGAACGGAGTTGCGGGCTACAACTAGCGTTATATAATAACTTACTTATCAGTAATACTTTCATCCAAGTCCACATCGGGAGACATGACACGTTTGCGCTCGCGCATCGTAAAATACGCCGCGGCGTCTGTTGTCAGCTGCGTGGGTGCTTCAAACAGCTTGCCGGAGTGACGGATCATGAAGCTTATAACTGGTGATAGAGCGATTGAGTCAGCATGGAATGTCTCTGGCGAAAGCTGCAAAATTATAATAATCTTTTAACAATGGTAGAAGCTAACAACGTCTGTAGCAAGAATGGACCGACTAGACCGGCGCAAAACCACCACACAGAAGACAGGCGTCAAGTGGTAGCTATTCCGCATACAGTCTGATGAGTGTGCGTTCCGGAGGCATAATTTTACCTTTCCCTCACCCTATTCTTATAAGGAACAGATAGGAAGGGTATGTGTATTTAATGAGCATCCCGCATAGGAAGATGAAACATTCTTTATGTGCGTCTCCTCCTCCGTCGATTAAGGGTAGGCAACGCAATTGTAAGAATGTGATCTAAACTTTATTAGACGTTGCTCAGAAAATTTTTTTAGTTATCGTCATGATATGGTCCCAAAGACTGTTCTCCCAAAATGGATATACAAAGTATGAATCTTGTAATATACATAAAAATAAGCATCAAAAACGAATTAAAATTTTGTTATTGGACCAATTATATTCAAAAAATTAAACTTTACAAGCCACAAACCTTTCTTGGACACAGTAGATGAGGTGTGAACATAGTAGCCAAGGTATCAGGTGACATTCTATTTGAGGCCTCGTGGTCTGCTACAGTACTCAACAAGAGTAGCAATCGCTGCAGAAAGTTTCTATGTGATGGTGTCAGTAGTAATAAAAGTAATTGGAGAGCTGTGAGAAGTTTGGTTGTCGATGACTCCGCATTTGGTGGGTATTGAGCTGAAAAAGTCACATATAAAATGGCTAAAGCACTCATGTACATGTGTCCGGTGTTGGCACAGACTAGTTTCGAACAGAGTAACAATTAACTGAAATTAACACCAGAAACTATGTATAGGAAAACATACAATTTATTTTTGACAATTATAACACGCAAATTATAGGAAGCATTTTTGTATAAGGTAAAGCAAAGAGTAAGAAAGAGACATGAAAACTATAGGAAGAGAATGGAGCTTAAGAATTATAGTAAATAACTATAAAAGTGGCTGACTATGGCCTAATCACCCCTAACTTAGAGTTCGCTGCGATCTCCTTGGTGGGAACCTTTAGAGAGCTGATGATGATTATGATGAAAAGTGCTCTATTATCTGAAATACTATATTGAGGTGTCATCTTTTTTATATATTATAATTTAAATATGCTTCATATAAAATATGCTCTATTGGCCCAATCCGATGAGGGAGAGCCATACACAAGAAACAGAACAGAACAGAAATATGCTCTGGATTTAATAATCAACTTGTTCATAGATAATTTAAAAACAACTCACCTGCTAAAGTACAATAAGTTTGATAATACTGATCCATTAACAAAGGCTGTGGCAATTCTGCTAAGAAACCTTTCAAGACCGATGCACAATCATGCACGGAGAACTTGCCTTCATCAAGTCCTAAACTAGAGCCTGTCACTAAGAGCTGACGTAACTCTTGTTGACGACTCAAAGACCCTGTTCTCCGGAAAATACCTTCTTGTGTTACATCTGAAAAGACAATTAATAGCTGGTTTAAAAAACAGATAATTATGACTGAATTTCTAGGAAAAGATTATTAGATAACTGTAAAATAAGCATGAGATGTCAATGTTAATCAGAACAATATCATTCTGTAAGTGCTTTTCTAAAACATGGGGACACCGAAGTGATTGACGAATCGAACTGGTTAAATTTACTTGACATCACATACAAATTGCGATACACTGTTAGATTATATGAAATTTTGCTATAGCATTGGTGCTCATGAGTTTCATGTAATCAAGCCGTAAGTGCTAAGAAATAAAAATACAAGGCAATGGTTATTGTTTTTTGGTAAGTTCTTAAAAGATAACTATCATCTTAGGTCTTCGCTACTCTAGCAAAGTTGAGTCAGTACTAAATAGGTATAAAATCATTAAAAAAAATCACACTCACTTTCCGCTTTGGCTAAAAAGTCTATCAACTCATTCAATCTTAGGATACCTTCTTCAGTTATAGAATTAGCTTCTAAATTATTCTTTGTAGTATTTGTGACGTTTTGACTAGAATTTGATGCACTGTTTTTAGTCTTCTTGTGAAAATTCCATCGGAATTGCTTTGGCTTGTCAGTTGAACAATCAACACTAAAATAAAAACACGTTCAATTTTTTACTTAATTTTTGCATTGGTAATAATTTAATTGATATATTTAATTAATTTTGTAACTTTTGAGTTAAATGGCCATAGGTTCGTACTTAAATGGTTTACTAAATTATTTGCGACCAGATAAATATGGTGTTCGGTTTAAATAAATGCAATAAAGAGATATACGTTTTTGAGGTTCTCAAATTGTAAAATTATCAGCATTAAAAAGAGAAAGAGTAAAAAAAATTGAACAATATGTAAGCTAGATTTATTTATTCCAGTAGGAGGTTAAAAACATGATATTTACTAGGATGGAAAGTCGAAAATTATTTTGAGCAACATACAGCTGTACAGAACGATGGTTAAAGCAATTCTTTTTTTAATTACTTACTCGTCAGTATTTATATCAACGACGAACGATAAATGCATCCGCACTAAAGTAAAGTATTGATCTAAATTCTCTATTCGTAGTTTTTCGATCCATTTAACGTCCGTAGTGGTCATCTTGAGATCGGTTGTATACACACTTAACAATAAAAGTATTTCTTTAATAAATAATACGAAAAACACATTGTAATTAATTAAGCTTTAGATATCAATTTATCTAAATTCCTATTAATAAATTACATATCATGATAATTGTACAAGAAATAACTAAACTTTGTTTTTCAAAAAAATAGATCCCACTGCATTGTTTTCAAATGTCAATTGACACAACGGCTAAACAGGTGTTGCCAGATTGTAAGAAATTAATGTAAAATACTTGTTGCACAGACTTTTTTTTAAATCAAATAGTTTTTTTATATTTTATTAAATTAATAATATTCGGCCATTGTACTATTATTTACTTTGGTTCTTAACAATTTTTACACGATAAATACCCCTACATAAAAACTATTACTCTAGTTCACTAAGAAAAAATGTTTACTATGCAAATTTTACATTGTGTAAATTGTACCAAGTATAATTTATAGCTATAGTTTTCAGTTAAGGGATTATTTTACTACATTTATGACAGATTTGAACGTAATTAAACAAAAAACAATGTTTAATAACTTTAATTTTTAATGACACCAATATGATTTAAAGTTGATTTCTAAACCGTGTATTCTCAGTACTTCTGCTTCAGAAGCAAATAAGAATGTTATATAAAATTTATCACTGTAGGAACAATGAAAAATTTTTATTACTTAATTTAAAACATATCATCATGTCCTAGATCTGCTAATAAATTTAATCCTCTTTCTTTTAGTGCCTTCGACAACAACTTCTGTTGTTCTATCTTTGCATCTTGTTCCCTTCTTTGTGCATCAAGTATATCATCAACTGACACTTCTGTTAAAGGCAAATTATCTTCTTTGTCTTTATCCTGAAAAAAAAAGGTAACTAATGAGTAAAAGCAAAAAAAATGTCCACATCACGATTCTTTCGTGTAAAATATTAAATGTAAGGGCTCAAAAACATTTCAAATTAAACAAAAATGAACTAAACATTCTTACAAAAATTGTTCTGTGTAAACATTATTAAAAACTTACTATTTCCCCTAACAGCACTACGTTTTCACCTCTTACAATAAAAATTCCGCGCGGTATGTCTCCATACTCTTTTCCAACATGAATCCTTTCAATGGTTTTATGTAAAACAAGATTCGCGAATTGATCAACACATCGTAGATATCCAATAAGTGTTCGCCCATCTCGAAGAAGTACCATAAGTTTTTCTTCATGAAACAAGGACCATTAACATAAAATCATTATAAATAACTATAAAAAAATAAAGGTATAAAAAACGTACTATCCAATTCATCAAGTAGATGGGCTGTGCCGACTAAAGGATTAATGTTATTTGACATGTTTGATTAGAAATTAACAAGGAATTTATCTTTAACTTGCAATTATTATGAGGCAAATGTATAATGTATAAACAATTAATATGAATACAACCAAGCAAAGTGCAAACAAACAAACCAAATTGAATTCAGAGAAACTGTGACACTGACAGAATATTGACAAGTGTTTTGGTTTTGAGTTGAGTTTGACAATGACATTTTTACAGATTGTATTAACGGTACTAGTGTTGTTCTAAGGAAGAAAAACTGGTACATGACATGAATCTGAAATTAAATCTAGCCTTACTAGAAAAATAGAAAGCCTCCAAAAAATTCATTGCCACAGCGTTGACATTGTTGACTATCGTCGAGTTGTCAAAGTAGTTTATTGTAATAGCGGTATAATTCGTGAGTCCGTGATAATTTGATGAGTTACTTTTTTTTTAAATATTAATAGTCGCGAAGGATAAAAGGTAGAGGCGATAAACCTAGGATAAGTTTATAATACTGCATGAAATTTTTAAATGTCGTTGGTTCGTGAGGTGTTTTGACGTAGAAGATAACACTCTCATGTGAAAGTAGTTATATTTTCGGTGCTTTACTCTCTCAACATTACCTAACTTAGTAATACTGGTATAGAAAAAGAAGTAGCATAACTTTTTTTACACGTTTGACTTGTGTTAAGTTTATCCTACGGTATTAGGAACTAAAACTTAAGGTCCAGAGGATAAATTTTAGGGTATTACTGTTTAGACACCTCCAAAAATTGGTACAACAGCGAATTCTTTGCACAACACTAATTGCACTCATTGTGTGCTGTCTGTCATCCAAACTTTATTTTTTGTTCGTGCAATGCATTTCGTTTTAAATATCGACAGAACTTTAAAGTTTTTTGACTAATTGCTATGCTTTATAGTTGCAATATATTTAAAAATTGTTGGGTGCATATTAATTAATTTGGAAACATCATGATGGAGCAAGACGATGAGATAAAATCTGGTTGTTTATTATTTCCTCCAGCCGGAGGAAACATGTTCAGTAAATTTCCTAAGAAGGTAAAATATACAATAATTGTTTTTAGGGTAAAATCATCTAATTTACTGTGAATAATCCAACTATATATAGTATTAGTGTCATGAATTATTAAATAACTAATAAAACATCGCACGCTTTCTAAATGAGTCAGGGAAGGGTAGATTGTACTGAACTTGTTTGGATGCGTGTGCACTGTGTACTTAACAAAATAAATATACTATAAAATCAGTTTTTAATATTTTGCTAAATTTTGTTTGCTGAAATATATTTTTATATTAAGTATATCTACTTTTAACTATTTAGTGGTTTGATATGACCTTAACAACTTTAAAACTCTTTAAGTTACTTTAGAAAGAAAATGAGTGCTTATGTAAAAATTTTTAATAAACATAAAACTGCACAAATATGGTTAAGTAAATTTTGATTATTTTCTATATTTAGTTAAATAAGTAATTGCCTCCCAAATCATGTAATAGACATAATTATTTTGTATCAAATGAACTTGCAATCTATTCTGTATGTAGATCAGTTATTCTGTTTTTCTCTCAAGTATAGTAGAATATTTTAGATGCTAAAAAAACATGTAAAAGATAAAATAAAAGTTTCTTAGCTTTTAACTATTACATTGATATTTGTAAAGTAATAGTGTAAGTAAGTAAACATTTAAAAACCAATATTAGCAAAGTCAAAGCCCTTAAATTATTTATTATATTTTAATTTCCAGAAAAATTGGCAACAAAAACACTGTATACTCTACAATGCCAGTAAACAAGGCATTGAAAGATTGGAAATATATGACAATAAAGAAGATGTTACAACTGGATCCATTCCTAAGATAATAACTCTTGAAAATTGCATAAAAATAACACATTCTAGTCCAAATACTATTACTATATTAAGTAAGTCAAATACTCAACAAATTAGTGCCCAGTCAGAAATGGAGACTTTAGAATGGGTCTCTGCTTTACAGTCAGTGGCCTTTAAAAATTCAGATTCTATACCAATCAGTTGTGATGAAGATAATGATCTATACTGTTCATCAGGTGAAGGAGTATTCTCCGTAAAGATGTGTTCATCTGAAGCTTCAATAAGATGTGGGTTAGAGCCAATTAGATATCTCTTACTTCTTACTTCAACTGCAATAGATCTTAGGGATGTAAATGACAATAAATTATATGCTACTTGGCCGTATAGGTACATTAGAAGGTATGGTTACAGACAGGGTAAGTTTACGTTTGAAGCTGGAAGAAAATGTGATACCGGAGAAGGTATTTTCCATTTAGAACATCCTAATCAATCAGAAATTTTTAAATGTTTGTCACTAAAAATGAAGACAATGAAACAATCAATTGGTACTGACAATTTAAACAGTCCAGAACATACAGAGTTTAATATACAACCAAGTGCCAACTTATTTCCTGGTTCAAGAAGTCCATTAGTTGCTGCAAGGCCAGAAGAATTGAATTTAAGCTCTTTATCATTTAAAACAAATTCTGCATCAAGTCAACAATCTTCTACATCTGATACAGCACCTTTACTGATGCCTAAGCCAGCTCTTAAGCCTAAACCGCAAAAGCCTCCGAGAAAGATCATAAACATTCATAAACCAATCAAGGATCCCTCATCTTCAACTGATGACAGTATAGATTTTGGTAGATACAAAAAACTTGAAAATTTCGAAACACTCGACCAATCCAAGACCCAACTGCCAATGGTACCTTATGATAAAGTCGAAGTGCGTAGCGAGGCTTGGAAAACATTTGGTATCGATGATCCAGATCATACCGAATTTACACCTAATTTGGCTGACAGTCCAAACTGCATGAAACTTATATCAAGATCACAAGATAATTTAAACAGTACAGGTCCTGAATCTTCTCGTATTATTCTTTTACCACTAAGTCCAGAAGATGAGAACTATGACAGGCTTCAATATTTTGGCTCCACAAGCAAACTGAACAAATCCTCGAGATATAAGAAGGTTGAAGCGCGTCCTACAACACTTGCTGTAAACGACTCGAAGAATAAAGACACATGGAATGATTACGATGAAGTTGAGAATGTTATGCAGACAGCAAGATTGGCTGATGACTCTCATTTGGGGTATGGTATGATACGGAAACCGAACACTCCTGGACCTCAAGTACCTACAGCTGCCCAGGCTCAAGCCTTACAAAATCAAGTTACTTTGGAAGACATCAATGGTAACTGCAACGGAGTAGAGTATGCAGTTATAAGCCGTCCTAAAAGGGTATGAAATTCAATATAATTAAATAACATGATTTTATGATAGAAGACTGAAATTTTACACGAAATTTATAATTTTAAGAGAGTGAAATTAGGTAAAATTGATATTGGCATGTGAAAAAACTCTCAAAGTATTATGAATTAACATTTTGAATTAAGTTTATTTCTAGGTGTAATTGAAAATCATGATTTTTATACTAACAATCTTAGGTCTAATTTCTTTTTATCAATTGTAACCATTTTATAAACATTAACATTTCTTTATAAAAGTTTTAAATGTTGTGTTCTTAAGCATTCCGTAGACAAGTTGATTGCTTGTTGATCTAATTACGATTCAGTAGTGTGTTTTGCTATGTGGTTTGTAACAGTCTCAAAGTTTGACTAGTGCTTCATGTTTTTATCTCTTCTCTGTTAATGTTTTATAAGAATGGAGGTTGACATATCTAAACAAATCTCATTGGAGGCGCAAATTTCTGAATTTACTAGAAAACAACATAATTGCTTTTTTCCTTAGTCATCAACTTGATTAAATCGTGTATTTCTAGTAAGAATATTGTTATCCTTTTTAAACTACTTCAAAGAAATGAGATAATAATGTTTTTGTAGTATTCATTGAGTGTGGAAATTCACAATCTCAGTCATATTAGTCTTCGAGCACTTTTTTTTATAATAGTTATAAAAATATAGATTTTGATGGATAATTTCATACAACACTGAGAAAATTTATCATAAAAACGGACTTAAGGTAGACCATTTGTTTCTTACTTTTGTGCTCAAGGATCTATGTTATTTAAGTAAACAAAAACTGATTTTTATATGTTTCATAACCAATAGTGTTATAATGTGCCATTTTTTTGGGGGTACATTATTGAACAATCGTTCAAGTTGTAGGTGCTTCATATAATAATGAAAAGTAGAATTAGAATATATTAAAAGTTATTTTGTTTAATTTTTTACGTGTGTTTCATGTTTAATACATTTAGGTTATAAATATCTTCCATTTTAACCATTCCATTGTAGATGAATTTGAATAGTATTATTTTTTTTTTATATAAAACAGTAATTTTTGACTATATTATATATTCTCTTTGCATGATAAAGTTTAGAAAATATATCACATTCCATTTTATTATTCAGTTTTTTATAAGTGATGGCACAATTTTAATCAAAGCATATCACCGTCTCAAAGGACGGCTACGTATCTATCTGCGGTTCCTCTGGTATTTCAGATGAATACATCTTTGTTCCAGCTGCTCGTTTACCCCCTTATCTTATAAAAACATCTAAATATTCCAAGCTGTAGTTTTCTGTTTTAAGTATATTTTTTGATAAGAAAAATTTAAACACAAAGTATGTTTAGTAATTTTCAAAATATATCCAACTGTGATTACGCAGTGCCTAATATTTTTTTCAATGTTGATTACATAATTTAAGCATATAATTGTTATGTGAGAATTGGTATATAAATGTGTGAAACAATAAACATTGATAACATTTTATTTTAGTTACCAATTAGATTTAAATAGCTTTTTAAAGCTGGCTGTTATAAATGCATCAATTCACACATAACAATGAAATATTTTAATGATTCTGGTGCCAATACAACAGTACAATAGTTTAAGATCATGTTATGACATAATTAAACTCATTATATATTATATAATCAAGTTGGTATTACAATAAAGGACATATTGTTCTAATTTTTTTGATGAGTTCATTAAATTTTTTTAACAAAAGTGACAAAACAATATAGGGTTAGTTTTAAATGTTTTTATTCAAAACTTTAAATAGAATGACGTAAGTGAAGAAATCACTTGATATTTTTTTCTACCATTATGATAGTGTCATGGACCATAGTAAATTATCCTTTGTAAGGTTGAATAAACATGTTCTACCTTGTCACAAGTTTCTATTCAGGATTTTTAAATTAAATCTTGAATCTAGATAATTTTACCCATATGCAATTTGAAGTTAAAAGTTTTTTTTAGGTGAAAAATGAAGAGCTGTGTCCTTTATGTTACTAAATATGATATGTTTCTATAATTAGAAGTATGTATTATGTTTATTATCCTTTCTGTTTAATTGCGAAATACATATTTTTTACATTTGTATTTTAGGTCAGCCATGTTATGAAATAAAGTCATTTAATCAATTTTATCTTTCATTACTTTTTTAAGGTCAATTACTTTCTAAATTACGTAAACTGGAAATAAACCTTTATAGTAAGATGTCAAACTATTAAGCCCTTGCAGATACAGTCTTTACTGAAGTCAAACTTTTCAGTTCAAAATAAAGGTGTGTTACAGGCTTTATCTTCTTTTTAATATAGTGACAATACACATTATGGAACTTGTATGTAAAGTTTTAGTGGCATACCTTTCCAGTTTTCTTTTACTAAATTATACAGCAACCACCCACTTGTTGGCATTGAAGTTATTTTAAATTATATTTTAAAAAATATTAATATTAGATGTTGCATATTTGCCTGTGATTACACAGTGTTTGCCCACAATTTTGTCCATTAAATATAACATAAATGTTGAGACTTAAAAATATATCAAATTATTGAAAGTGATTGATTTCATTCAGTAATTTTATTAATATTTAGTAACATATTTTCACCATTTCTACAACCAATAATTATTTATTTTACAATCAAGTACAGTAGTTAAGTTTTATTTTCAGCTTTCCAGTGCAGGTGTTTCTTTTTGTTCTTCTTTAGTTGCTTTTAAGATAAATTCTAAGTCCTCAGACATAATTTTTTGTACTACCTCTCCTTTTTCAGCCATAATGTCTTCTATATTCTTCTTTCCATTCATATCAGTGAACCAATTGAGATTGTCTGCTATAAGATGTTTGTTTTCACAACCATCACATATAATTATAACTACACCTTTGTAATATGCTAATTTTGTTATAAATTTTGAATTTCTATGATTACAAATTTTACATGTAAACATTATTTGAAATTTTCCTTCATATTTTTTCTGTTCCGGTTTAGAAAGGTCAGGTAGTGCGTTAGGAGTAGTTGCAAGTGTTCTTATGGATTCCAGATGTGTTCTTGATAAACATAACGTCATTTGCTTATAGACATGCCTCCTTCCCAAAGTCGAATTTCCAATGCCCGAGCGTAATAGTATGTTTTTGAATAGTCCTGGCTTATGAAACTTTGCTAAAAAGTTACCAACAGTTCTGTGAGTCATTATAACCTAATTTTTTTAAGTTGTAAAATCCATAAGAAACATATGCTGCAAATCTGAACTAAATGATTGATTATTTAATTAAAATCAAAGTATTTAACATAAATCTGTACTTTTCGTGCAAATAAAAATATAAAACTGCAGAATTTGACAAGCGATCACGGACGACCAGATGACATTGACAGTTGGGCTGGACCAAAGATTCTATGAAATTGACGAAAAAACAGATTATATTTGAAAATTGTGATAACAGATGTCTTGTTTTGACAGTAGTGGCTGTAAAATCAAAATTCAATGGCTCATACGTAAAACAAAAAATAAGTAACTGAAAACATAACCTTAAACTAAATTTCCAACTAGTTTTAAATTTTCCAAAAGCAAACAATAGTTTATTTTTAAAAGTAAATTAAAGTGTATCAAATAGATAAATTCGCTGTATTGTTTCAATTTATTTCCTAGATTGGTCACTTGTTGTACAAATGTAAATTTTCGTTAGTGATTTGATAGCAAATTACTTTTTAATTACTTTGGTCATAAAAGCCATAAAAATAAGTACTATGGAATCTATTTGGTTTAAACCCGAGTTTTCTAATGAAATAATACAAAATCCTGATATTTTAGATCAAACACAAAATGTTATAACTGGTAAGTTAGTTCCTATAATTTACTTTGCAATTATTATTATTGTCACCACTGATTTTTTCTTATTGACGTTTAGGTACTAAATAGAATAGTATCGGCATATTAAAGAGGATACTTTGATAATTATTTTGCATTGTTTAACGAAAATATAGGAATAGGTAACATTTGGTTATCTTTTTATGTTTCAATGAATTATATTTCATGACAGAATAGATTTTTGTAGAAAGCGATATCTCTTACAAATACTGTTAATAAATATTGCAACAACATTCCAATTTAGCTATGATTCTTTGAAAACATATTTTATATTCAAATTTCAAATACATTTTAAGATTAAAACACAAAATAATTTTTCACAGATATTATATCTGGACGAATAGAAATAACAACACTAGTTGAAAACATGGCTGGAGTATTAACAAGCAAAGAGGTTGATAATAGAGAAAAAGGAATGAGATTCTTTACAAAAATCTTAATGGAATTGCCGCAAGACTATTTATCAGATATACAAATAAAATTTATATCAAAATTCTATGTAGATAGATTGAAAGATAATCATAAAATCATACCGACTGTTTTGGAGGGCTACTTAGCAGTAATTGACATGAAGAATTACAATATGCAGAATTGTGGTGAATTCTTTACAACTTTGTTCCGTGAGGTACCTTGTCAGTCACAAGTACGGCAGGACAGATACCATATATATTTAACTGTGCAGAAATTGTTGGAGAGGGATGTTAACTGTAAGTAAACAATAACAAAATAATACATAAAACAGATGTCCATTGACATCCGCAATTGCAAATGCGATGTCTACTTTTAATTAACAGGGGAGGGGATGTACAGAAATAAAATATTGCCACTTCCTATGGGTCTCCTCCTCCATCAAATCCACTTTCCCATCCCATAATTCCCTTAAAGAAGGATGGGATGGGAATGAAGACTAAAATTAGATTTCTTTTGCAGATATAAAAACATTGGGACCAGATTTTGTGTATGGAGTCATATCATCTATTGAAGGGGAAAGAGATCCTCGCAATTTACTGTTCCTATTTAATTTTATTCCTATCTTTCTAAAACATGTACCATTAGGTCATTTAACGGAAGAAATGTTTGATGTGATCTCTTGTTATTACCCAATTGACTTCCATCCATCACCGAATGATCCTGCAGCTGTCACAAGACAAGATCTGGCTTCAGCATTGATACCGTGTCTGTGTGCTGTGCCAGAGTTTGCAGAACACTGTCTTGTGCTTCTAGTTGAGAAATTGGATTCCAGTTTGAGGGTTGCTAAAATTGACTCTTTAAAATTACTGGTAAGTGATTTCATATATTTACTATGACCATATTTTTTAGATCTAAAAGAAAATTTTTAGTTATGAAGAAATAAGTGCCTAGTACCTAAGATTTTTTTATATCATGAGGTGGAAAACAAGCAAATGGCCACCTGAAATAGCGGAAGTAGCGATCCCATCATTGCCCATAGATATACAATTACACATGTGTTACCTACCTTTAACTGACAGAGGAGGACAGGGTAAATGTTCTTTCTGTGCATCCCAGAAAGAACATTTTCCCTTTCCATTCATCCTCTAATCTGGAAATTTACTTCTACTTTCCATACTTTCCGTATAAGAAAAAGTATGGGAAGGGAAAAAGAAATAAAATTGGGACTCCGGGACGCCCATTCATCAGACGAAACGCGGGATTGCTTCCAATTTACGTCTGAAATTTTATTTATACCAACAACAATTTCTCTATTGTTAAATCTATAAATAAATGTAGTTTTATTTATTATTTACAGGCTGAAAGTTGTAAAACATTTACAACTGAGAGTTATAAACCATTTTTAAAAACTTTATGGTCATCAATACATAGAGAGATTACTCATAAAACAGATAATGAGTTAAAAATGGCAGCTCACGAAGCATTATCAGCTTTAGTATCAAAATTAGCTACAACTGTTAACACGGATCAAGAATTTGAAAATTTCGTTAAAGGAATAATAATATCTATTCAAACAGCTTTAGCTGGATCTACAACCGCATCACAATTTTCTCAATCAAGTAAAATATTACTAACCACAGCAAATGCATCAAAAGAATCTTGTTATTTAGTAGTGAAATGTATGGTGCCAGCGATCTCTGCATATTACGAATTCAAAACATCATCCAAATTACAAATTGCTAGTATAGAATTTCTTGGTGATCTTTACGATTTAGCTAAACACTGGAATGTACTACAAGATTTGAATGAAAATATAGATGTTATAGTACAGCTCTGTTTATTAGCAGTTAGTCAAACAACAAGCAATTATCAAATAGCTGGATTCAGAACTATTATTAAAATGGCTGATGTTATAAAATCTAATTTAATTCTACCATTTGTTGAAGTTCTAACATATAATGTACAGCATTCACAAGATAGTGAATTGTTAAAAATAAGTGTCGAAGCGATCCATGCTATTGCTACACATAATCCTGAAATGATAATGAATTTGGTCGTTAAAGGAAAATGTGATTTAAACAATTTGACGGAGGATAAAATTAATTTACAAAAACGTTTAAATTTACTATCTAATTTAGCAAGTATAGATGATTTTACAAAACTAATAATAGAAGAAATGTTAAAAATAATAACAGAGAATGAAGAAAGTGCTCCTAAAGTTATTGAAGCATTAAATGAAGCAATCTCCGATACCACTTTATATACAGAGGAAAAGATAACTGAAATTGAAAGCGATCATGGTCTTATAGATTCAGTTATAAATTGGTTATTAAGAGAGATTAAATTGGGAACATGTGAAGAATCTTATAACCATGGTTTCACATTAATAGCCAACACAATAAGTAGCTTACCATCGGACAAACAACATCAAATACTATTAAAATATACCAAGGAATTGATAGATTTGTGTAAGACGAATGATCTGAATTTCTTAGTAATTGAAAGTCTGTATTTATCAATTCATGAAAATTTATATGATTTTGTTATAAAAGATATTATGTCTTTATCTTTGAGATTATCTTTGAATAGTGACAATGATACGGTTAGGCTGAAAGCGTGTGTGTTGGTGGCACATTTCTTGAATAAAGTGGAACATGGACAGAAATTTGATTTCTTATATGAATTATTGAAGGATTACTTGTCGTCTTGTAGACGGGATGATTTGTCTTTATGTCCGAGACTGATACAATTATATGCGTGGATAACTAAAGCTTTAGTAATGAGAAGCAGTGGCCAGTTCTTATTTTGGTTAGAAAAGGTAAGAACTCTTTGCTTTTTTATTTATAGACCAATATGAGTATCAGACACGGTGGGCATAAGTCAAACTAAATTATTATAGCTCACTAGCGCCCTCATGACAATGTGAAAAAGGTCTCGCAAGGTCCTTTTCATACTACAAGGACTTATGTACCTTGATGGCAGCACCTCTTGTATCAGGCCATATATTATTGTTTATTTATATTAATTATTATAAAAATATGTGTCATTTTTATTCTTAAGTATTTTTTCTGACAGTACTAAGTGCGATACTAGCGCCCCTCTCGCCTAGCTAAAAATCTTTTTTTTTTCAGATTCTCGTTTCTATAACGAATGAAGATTATGCCAAAGAGGGTGCTGAAGCCATTCGCCTTATAGTTACAGACTTTCAAGAATATCTGAGCAGACGGCAACACTGTAGAATAACTCCATTTTACAAACAGAGAATGTTTCAATCGTTTTCTAATTTAACAGGAAAACTTGATTTATTGAATTCAGAAGTAAAGGAGTATTATTTATTAAGTTGGGCGTATATTTTAGAGAAAACTCCTAAAAGTGTTCTTAATAATCATCCTAATAGAGTAAGTAGGAGATTTTTCAATTGTCTATACAATTTTATTACTATAAAAGCAATCCTTTTGCTCATATAGCTGTCGCCCGCGACTCCTTCCGCGCGTAACTAAAACTTAATAAGTAGCCTAAGTATTTTCCCACACCATGTTCCATATCTGTGCCAACTTTCATAACGATCCGTTGAGCCGTTCCGAAGATACCTTCTAACAAACATCCATCCCTGCATCCACCTGCTCATACCTGAAATCGTTGAAATAGCGAATTGACCGTTGCCCATAGACATACGCAATTGCAAATGCGTTGCCTACCTTTAATCGATGAGAGGATTCACAGAAAGATAACATATTCCCCTTCCATGCATCCTCTCATCCGGAAAGTCCACTTCCACTTTCCATCCTTTCCTTATGAGAAATAGGGTAGGAAGGGAAAGAGTACTAAATCATATATAATATTAGTATTTTTTTTGTGTTGACGTAAGATTATCAAACAGATGACTATAACTGTTTATTTACCCTAATCGGGTTAAAAATCTGAATGAACTTTATGATTAATCTTGTTTTATTTCAGGTCTCATGTCTAGTTATAGATGGTTTAGAGTATGACAATAAAGAGTTGCTACAAGTAATGCTGGATGTACTCTGTCACTATGTGCAAGCGAAACACGTCACAGTTGCCGACAGCTTACAGACTATATTGCCTCGGCTTATTAAACTCTCCACATATGTCAAATCTATGGTGAGTTTACTCCTTTAATAATAATAATAATACCTAGATTTGGGTCACGAGGTTACAGCCATGTGGCGTATGAAATCGACTACCACTATTCCGATAGTCTTATCGGTGAATAGACTAATAGCGAAGAATTTCAACCAACATCTCAAGAAGGTCTCGCTAAACAGTTGGATTAAGAGCCCGATACAAAAGGCAGTTATCCTAGAAACC